ACAAAAAAAAAAAAAAAAAAAAAAAAAGCCGGGGATTTAGCTCAGTGTTCCTCCGCCTGCCTTGTAAGCACAAGGTCCCAAGTTTGTTTCGTTCCCCAGTACCAAAAAATAAATAAACCCACCCCAACAAATTCACAAAACATCCTCTAGAGGGTGGCACTGCCCCTGTTAGGAGCCATAGGTTAGGGCCATGGACTGAGAGTATTTGTTTCCTGCAGTGGCCCTCATCCCAGCACAGGGAAGCCTGAGGTGGGAGCATCACTTGAGTCCAGCAGTTCAAGACCAGCCTGGGCAATACAGTGACATCCTATATCAGAAATTTAAAAAAATTTTTTAAAAAGGCCTGAATGTCAGGGGCGTTTCTACATAGACTTTGGGGAAAATCATTTAATAATTAAAGTATGACTATAGCTAAGACTCAAGGCTGCCTTGCCCAAGAGCCTGCCTTGCAAGCACAAGGACCCGAGTTCAATCCCCGGTACCAAAAAGACCCCCTCAAATAACAAAAAAGTACATGCTGTCTGAGAAATGCAGCATAAGCTATGATGGAAAGTTACCATGGTACTGCTCCTCATGGCTGCCTTTTATTTGTGCTTTTAGATTTTATTGGAGTGCTCGCTTCGGCAGCACATATACTAAAATTAGATTTTATTGGTACATTTTAGATATACATAATGGTAACATTCATCATAGGACATTTGTACCTGTACATGATATATCTTGCTTCTTTTGTTTCCCATTCCCCCTTTCTTCAACCCCTTTTACTCCCCTTATTTACAAAAGCTTTGTTTCCTGTCTGTTTATTATTTTGGTTCCTTTTGTTTTGTTTTTTGAGACAGAGCCTGTATTCAGGCTGGCCTTGAACGTATGGCAATCCTCTTGCCTCAGCCTCCCAAGCACTGGGATTACAGGTGTGTGCTGCCACAACTAGCGAAAGCTTTGTTTCCATTTTTTATTTCTGTTCTCACTTTTTTCTTGTCCCTTCTTTCCTTTTCCCCTCCCTCCTCCACTGTTCCCCTTTCTCATTTTAACATTTTCTTCCCATTTCCCAGTGTGTATTATACATTTTGGTCCTTATTTTGGTTTCTAACACCAGAGAAACAATGTGGTATTTACACATGTGTATCCAATTTAAGGAAAGGTTTATTTGGCTCACAGTTAGTAGGTTTTAGTCCATACTTGGCTGGCTGCAAGGCAGGGTGGCACGGCAGAGGGGCATCACAGAGGAGAAACAGTTCATGTTGGGCAGAAAACAGCAAAGCAAGCAAGGGACCTTGGCAGTTTCTTTTTGCCCCTTTTATACTCTATCCAGGCTACTAGGCCAAACCAATTAATGGATGTATTTGGTAATCACACATTCTAGATTCAGCTACCTCTGAAAAAGCCCCACCTATGACCTCATGAGGCTTTGGGGGGACATCTAGACACAGATAATAACACAGTGGTTCAGTGATACACATTTAGGAGAACTCAGACTTCGAAATGGGATCTTCGCCTTGACTGGCAATGTGCAGTGTGATAATGCTCTTATAATGCCAAGCAAAAGCTGTTAGCCTCACTTCCCAGCAACCACTCACTTACTGGAGTACAGTAAGTGCTATTGCTAAACTGTGCTTTTCATCACATCAGGTGTACTAACTGCTGTTTGCTTGATTGTGCTGGGTAATGAACCTTGAGCCTCATGCATGCTAAGCACTGGCTGAACCATGGCCCCTCATGGGTTTATCATTATGTAACCCTGTGTAAGTCAGGGGCATCTGTAGTATGGAACATTTTCTCTTTTTTCCCAGTGCTGGGAATCAAACACAAGGCCTCATTCATGCTAGGCAAGTGCCCTAAGTGACATTCCCAAACCCAATAATGTCATTTTTTTTTGTCTTTATGTTTACTCATACATTATTACATTATTGATTTTCAAATGTTAAACCAATCTTGCATTCCTAAAGTAAATCCTGCTTGTCACTGTGTTCAATCCTCCCATGCTCCGGAATTTGGTTTGCTACTATATTTTGCTAAGTGTTAACTTATTTGTTTTTAATTAATTTTTTTCCAATACTGGAGGTTGAACACAGGGTCTCTCACACATGCTAGGCAAGTGCTCTCCCCTTTTAATTTAAAAATTTTTATTTATCTAGTTTTTGGTACTAGGTATTGAACTCAGGACCTTGTACTTGCGAGGCAGGCAGCAGTACCACTGAGCTAAATCCCGGGCCCTCTGCCCTTTTTATTTTGAGACAGATCTTATTGCTGAGGCTGGCCTCCAGCTTTTGATTCTCCTTTCTCAGCCTCCTGAGTAGACGTGACTACGTGTATACACTGCCACACCTGGCCATAGCCTGTGTTTTTACAGTGTTCTGGTGTCTGTGCCAGTGAAAGCTGTTCCTACAACATGCCCACATTTAAGGCTTTCATATGGCAAAGCTGATTGTTTATTTCTTACGAGCAGTGCCATTCTTCTACCTTCTAAATAAACGACAGTCTCCTAAACCCCAGGTGTGTGTGCATGTGTGGGGAAGATGGCATCTGCCCACAGAATGGGGGAGCTGCTGTCTTAGATGGGAGTGAGGCTTCTGAAACAAGATCTATACTCGGGTACTTGGGACCAGGGAGGACTGCTGCTCCCCGCACATACAACTCTTCCTCCTGAGAGAAGGCACAGGGACAGTGACACACACAGTTCAGTATTCAGTTTTAATTCTGTCTCTTTAGAGAGCCCAGAGAATGAACAGCAGTGTAACAGGGGCCGTGGAGCCTAAGCATGCCCTTGTAGAGGTTGCTGCAGGCTGGGCTGACCCTAGCTTCAGGGACTGCAGTGACACGTGATCCCAGGTCCTACAGATAGAGGACACCAGGAAATTCAGAATCCCTAGATTCCACAGATCCATTATGTCTACCTGCAGCCACTGCTTGGCCTGTCAACCGCTGTCCCACTCTGGGGTCGTGGGTCTTTTCCTTCTGCTGGAAGAGATGCTCACACAGGGAGAAACTCTTTGCACACTGCTCCCTGCTGGTCAAACAATGGCACACCATCTTTGGAGACCCTCCACATGTCTGTCAGGGGGCTCACATGGCCAAGCACCAGCTGCTCCAGCCTGGGAACAAGCTCTGTTCCATCATCCAAACTGGCTGCTGCTTCCAGTGGAATGGGGCCCTGGCACCCACAGACAGAAATGTGAGGAGAGGACACACACGCACTGAGTGTAGGCATCACTGTATAAACTCTTCTCTCTTGGCCATTCACTAATGAAACCCCACTAGAAGGAAGCCCCACATCTGTTCAGACTGTGCTCAGGGTGTTGCCTACCAAGGGTTTTGCTGAGCACTCCCACTCCTGTGTCCACTTTGCCCGGCACCAGCTCATCCACACAGGCAAAAGTCGCTTTTGAGCTTCTGACTGTAGCCTCTGTTTCCAGCCAAGCGACATTTTGGCCATTTACTGGTGCTTATATATAGGGGAGAACCCCTGAGTGTGGGTAATGCTGTCTCTCTTTTCCTGTCCTCACAGCCACAGGTACATCCTCCCAGTGAGAGGCCCCTGTCTTGTTTCTGGTGTGGGTGAACCCTTAAGTAGAAGAGTACCCTGGAAGCCTAGCAATGGATCTCTCAAACAGGTGTGGTGAGTCAGAATGGTTGCAGACTGCTGTCGCAACCCCAAGCCAGGGTTCTGTCCCTGAGGCCCAGAAAACCTGAGTGCCCTTTGGCATTTTCCAGATGTGTTCCAGTAGTGCCAGTGTCTTGAGCTAAGTAATGTGAAGGAGCTAAAATTTTCAGACTTTTCTTTCCTGAAGCACTGGGAAGGAGGCACAGAAAAGGAGGGGACAGGAGAGGACAAAAGAACAGTCAAACCGAGGTGTAGGCCAAGCCACGTATGGTGCCTGTGAGACCTGGGGACAGAGTAGAGCTGCGGAGCAGAAGGCTGTCTGGGGGAGAAACTTCCAGGGACAGCAAGAGACTCCAGTGCTCTTCCGGCACTGACTGCTAGTCCCCAAACTTTCAGCTCCAGGTTTCTCCCTAAATCTAGATCTCAGGGAACAAGTCACAGATCCAGCTTAGACCAGGAGCCATAGGCTTTGAAGAGTATAGGCTTTGAAACCAGCTATCCCATGTTCAGTATTCACTCATTGATTGTATTTAAGAAAAGACACCAAGCTCAAACTAGAATCACTTCTGGGAAAGCTCCAGGGCAACAAGCTAAAACCTAAGTTGTTTACTATAAGATTTTTATTTTTTTGAGAGTATCTTACTATGTCACCCTGGCTGGGTCTTCTTGCTTCTGCCTCCGCAGTAGCTGGGATTACAGGCATGTACCACCAGATCCAGCCACTTGTCTCCTTAATTCTAGGGAGTTGTGATAAAGGACAGTTCAGGAAAAACCTATGAGCATTTCCCAGGTACTGAACAATTGGGCAGCGGTTGGAACTCTGTCCTGGGAAGCTCTGAGAAGTGGTGTAAAACACGCTTCAGAGTCGTCCCCACTGAGGGGCTGGCAGCTGAATCCTGCCCACCAAGGCTGTTGGTTGCTGGATGGCTGCTCCCATGAGCATCAACACACGGACCAAGCATGTTGGGTAAACCCCAGGTAGAGAATTGTAGGTGTTTGCAGAAAGAAGCCTTCAGGAACAGAGGAAAATATAAAGGGACCTGAGTGGGACACCAAGGGCAGGTATATGGCCATAATGGAGAAGCATAGGCACTTTGCCTATCCTACTCCAAGTGCTAGCACTATGCTTTAAACACTGAACAAATGTTATATAAAAATAGTGTGTGGAAATTATGCATTAGATTGAACCTGAGAACAATAGTTCAAGTGGCTTCCTGAGTGAGCAAGCAAAATAGAATAGTGCAAGGGCATGGTGCTAATGCTAGGTGTGGTGACATATGCCTATAACCCCAGCACTTGGGAGGCTGAGGCAGGAGGGTCGCTGTGAGTATGAGACCAGCCTAGGCTACATACTGAATTCAAGGTCAGTTTGAAATTTCAAAAAGCAAACAAACCCACCCCGAAAGAACCAAACAACCCCCGCCCTCCAAAAAACCCCAAAGAAACAGTGCCTAGCTCAGTGATACGATTAAAGGCCCTCTCCTTGTCATCCCCAAGTTTAAACCTTTGCTCCTTCTCCTTACTAATTTTTTCCCCCCAGTACGAGGAATCCAACTCAGGACCTCCCACTTGCAAGGCAGGGGCGGTGCCACCGAGCTAAATCTCCCACCCTCTCCTTACTAATGTTATGACCCTGGAAACCCATGGAATGCCTGAGACCGTTTTTGTAAACGCAGTTTTAGTCAAGAGCTCACAAATGGTAGCCAAAAGTGAATAAAATATGCGAAAATGTCGGGCTTGGTGTCTGCCTCTAGGAAATATTAACGTTATTGCCCACTCCTTTATCCCAACTACTAGGGAGACTGATACAAGATCACAAGTTGGGGGTCCAGACTGGACAACTTGGGGAGACCCCATTCCAATTAAAAAAAAAAAAAAAAAAGATGGCCGGGGGATTTAGTCAGTGGTTCCCCCACCTATATCGCAAGTGTAAAGACCAGAGTTCGATCCCCGGTACAAAAAAAAAAAAAAAAAAAGAAAAGGAGCTCAGTAGTACAGCACTTGGCCAGAACGTGCGAAGTCCGGAGTTCAATCCCCATTATGGTGACGGTGGGGACAGGACCAGGACTACGACGACGACAAAGGCAACAAGGAAGTTAACCGTTCAAAGCAAAGGATCCTCTTAGATTAGGAAAAAAACAAAACCCAAAGGTAATCTCAGCGCCGGGTTGGCCACAGTAGCTGTGGTTCAGATCTTTTTCTCCTTCAGAGGCTGAGTCAGCCAGCAGAGAACAATACAAAACAACCAGAGACACTCTGATGGAAGATCCCGGCAACCCGCTTTGGAAATCCCAGTGGTCATCAGACAGTGAGGTTCTGCTTCCTGCCCTTACGCATCCGTTGGCTTCTTTCAAATAGACCGCCTTCGCTAATACCCAATCAGAATGCTCGATATTTGGCCACTGACCAATGGAAGAGAAGAATAGGGAGGCGGAAAAGAGAGGGCGTGAAGCCCAATCGAGGCGCCATTACACTTCAGGGCAAAGAGGTTAGGAAGCCGGCATGGCGCTCGGGTCAATAAAATCGATAGCTGGAAACTGCCTGTGTTCCAGGCAAAGGCGGTGCGGTAGCAGCGCCGCCATTTTCCCCAAAGGCATCTTCCAGTGTCTTTCGCCCAAGTTCGGGCAAGAGTTTTATGAATAACAGCGGGCTTTCTGTTAGCCCCTCAGGCGGCTGCCTCTGATCCCCTCCGGGGCTCCCAGGCACGCTCGGCCCTGAGCCGGCGAGGGTGCCTTAGTCCCGGGGTCCAATGGCGCCGCCTTCGGCCCCATTCCCCGCCCAGGGACCAGGCCAGGCCGGACCCAGCCGGAGAAGGGGAAGGAGGCCAAGGGCCTTGAAGTTCGCGGACGTGGCCGTGTACTTCTCCCCGGAGGAGTGGGGGTGTCTGCGGCCGGCGCAGAGGACCCTGTACCGGGACGTGATGCGCGAGACCTACGGCCTCCTGGGCGCGCTCGGTGAGGCCCTTGTCCAGTCTGCCTCCGCGGGCCGGAGTGGCGGTGGCGCTTGAGGCGGGGTGGGGGGTCGTGGCTGGGACCAGCTTACGTCTGGGGAGGAGGGCAAGGGCCCAGCGAAGAAGCCGTACCCGGGATTATCCAGGGATGCCCCCTCTGACTGTTCTCCTTCCCCAGGGTGCGCAGGTCCCAAGCCAGCCCTCATCTCCTGGTTGGAACGAAATACTGATGATTGGGAACCGGCTGCCCTAGATCCGCAGGAGTACCCGAGAAGGGTAACAGTCCAGAGAAGTGAGTGAAAATGCCCGTGGGGAGCTGCCGCCCTCCTGATCTCTAATGACTCAGTCCAGAATTTTGGTCTGGCCTTGGTCTATGACCTTTTGCGCTGTTGCTACACTGTGTTCATTTTCACAGTCTCAGGGGCTTGTTTCTGATGGTGTGGGGTCGTTCACCATCCAGAGGTTCCCGAATCGATGTGCAGACTGGCCACCTGCACGTACTTCATCGTGTAAATGAACCCATGAGCTTCAGCGAGAGTCAGCCTCCTGGCTGCTCCCCCAGATCCCTGCTCCAGCTTTCTTTGAATGCACCCTTGCTGAGAGAACCTAAATTTCTGTGTCTGGGTTTTGGAGTTGTTTTTTTTTTTTTTTTTTTTTTT